TAACGCTCGAAACGTCAGCTTTTATGATCGTAACGGTGGCCAAATTACCATTTCAACTTTGTTGATATATTGAAATTAAATGTAATGTAAATCGTTATTACTATCATAAATATCGTTATCATCATAACTGCCATTATTCCCTTTACAATTTAGTATTATTCGGGGCCATTATCAATTGAATCATTATCATTCAAAATTTGCGCGCTTTGAGAAATTTAGTAACGTTCTTGAACCAAGAGGTCATAACAAACAATCGGGGTGGAAGAATAAGGAACCAACGAGAATTTAAAGAAAATAAGAAAATGCGCGGAAACAACCCCATGCGCTGGAAATCGCTTGTTACCAAGTTGCCATTGGTCTTAGTCTTTATTTGATTGGTTGAAATGATGGCGCAAGTATTTTGGTCAACCAATGAGCGTTGCAGTAACTTTTTTTATATGTCGCCGCCGATGGTGTGATAGGCAGCCGTCAGGCGATCAAACACGAGAGTCTGCTGGAAGTAGACGTCTTAAAAGCGGCGCTAAACCGGCTTTTATTAAATTCACCCCAGTCCCTCTGATGAAGGGCTAATGATCGAAACGTCAACTTAGAAGCTCTTTAGGGTGGCCAATTAACAAAATCAACTCAGTTAATAAAACCAAATTATCCTTTTAATTGAAACCCCTGATCTTACTGGCCTAACGTATGAAGAGTTATGAACTCCCAAAGTCACGGTTTTACGGCAAACACACGCACTAACTAGCGGGACAATAAACCTGAAAGTATACATACGGTACTCGGCCGCGCCCGGCGCAATATTTCTTTGGCCAGTGTGTGCGTTTTATATGCCGCATTATCGATCACATCAGTCTCTAACTGATCAACAAGATGTTTAACCAGACAAATTTATAGCTTAACACTAAAAGGCTTACAATAGATCACCAAGCCAAAAGGAACAGTATTTTTACCTGAGCTGTTTGGTGACAGCTTGTCCTTTCAGTGAATCAACATTGAAGTTGCTGGTCCGTGCTGGAAATATCAGAAATGCGACTACGGTAACATCACTGCCACTGGACTGAAGAAAACAAGAAACACTACACATTCACGAGGGCAATCGAAGAATCTCTGTTTTTGCAATTCAGTCGAGTAACTGTCTCTAAAATACTAGTAAAATAAGTGTAAGCCAATTTTTTTATGTACTTTTGTAATTCAGGGATTTACAACTCTACGAACAAGCTGAAAATACTCGATTCTCATTTCTCATTTGGGCAGTCTTTCTAAGAAGTTCCAGTAAAAGGCAAGCCTCTAACAAAGGGATTTGTCTTCCTCTTACACTGAAGGACTCTCTTCCAAAACTTTCATCAAAGTAGTTGTTGTTACAATTAGCAATATCATGCAACATCATCAAAGCAACAAAATAATACCTTCAACAGGTGGTTAAGCCTTGCTAATGCTTCAATATACAGGTCAGCTCCCTTGTTGAAGTACTCATACCTACAGAATATTTTTTTGATTACATATATATAAATCACGAACTTTCTCTTGACTTACACACCAGACATCAGTAGAACTGTGCTATTCATACTGGAACTCCCGAAATATCTTTTCAACTTCACCAAGCAATTCTCATTTTCAACCGTTCTTTTCTTTGTCAATCAGTTAGGAGAATTTAAGAATAACACCCTCCAGCCATTGCCTTTATTCATTCCCATCACTTGAAATTGTTTTTTTAGTATTATATTCTAATAATTACAAGAGGGTGTTGATCACTGCTAAGAGTTAATAAGTTGTCGAAGGTGCTGTGGCCTACCTTCCAGCACTGAAGAAGAACAGTGTCTTGTCCATATCAAAATCTAGATGTCTGCAGATAAAAGTTATTTGTTAAAAGTTAACTATAAAGGTGTTGCTAAAAACCACACTATAATGAAAGTAATGTACACAAAGGTTTAAATGAAGTATCAACAATTTATTCGGAAATGTTCCATGTTACATACCCATGAAAATGACCTCGCACAAAGTTACAAATCTTCTCTTTGGAAATGGCATGAAGATTCTGGAACTCATGTAGAGCTCTGTTCAAGTTCAAACAAATAATAAATTGTTTCTCCACATCAGGGATAAAATAATCTGGTTTCCGTTTTCTAGTGAAAAAAAAAATCTAGAAACAAGTTCATATCAAAAAGATGGATTTTAATGCAGTATCTTTCACATAACTAGTAATTATTTATATGTACTGTTGTACAATTGTCCATACTGTGTATTCCAAATAACATTTCAGTGACAAAATCTGTCAAACTACGGCTTATCAACTTTAGCCCTTTCCTTCCCACCC